CAGCACACTTCGCGGGACTCAGCATCCCCATGCACCCCACTCCCTCCGTGTCGCCGCGGGTACCTCGTGTGCACGGCTGCGGACGATGAGCACCCAAAACCGATCAATTAACAGCAACATCTGAGCACATGTCGTGACGCAAATCGTGTTGCTGACGCAGAGTGCCGTCCCATGGCGACACGCGAGTGTTTGTGTGTGTGTGTGTGTTTGTTTGTGTGTGCGTATGTGTGTGTGTGGGTGGGGGAATGAAAGCGCTGTTTATTTATTACTTTCTGCTTGTCAGTCTGGGATTGGAAGGACCACATTGGAGTTGTGTCCTGGACCCGCTGCGTTGTCCTTGCTGCACACTCACGTGGTCCGAGAGTGGTTTTGCCTGTGCTGCTGGAATGCCTCGGCCGTGTTGCCTGCTGCTTATTTATTTATTTTTATTTTGTCTCATCTTGCTTGTTTCACAAGCGCCCACACTAGTGGAGAAGGGACTTTAGCCATGGAGCGGACTTCTCAGCCAGGTGCCGTGGGCCATCTTGGTGCGTCCCGAGACTGAGCGTCACCGAGTCTCTGCCGAAGTGATGACAACAACCGACTGGAGTCTCTGAGCTTCACTGAATGACAGCAATCGTGTTGGAGAATACTCTTCTTTCCCCGGCTGACGGCGTCCCTGTGGCGGCGGTGTGCGTGTGTGCGCACGCCCTGCCTTTCCACTTTCTCTCCCCCTTTACTTCCTCCGCTGCCGTGCGAGTGATGGCGGCCCATCCGCCGTTGCGGCGCACTGACACGGGTCGATGACGACAAACCACTTACGACGGTCTTATGACAATCACCCGAAAATGGATTGAACACAAGTGTCTTCACGAGATTTGGGGCGCCGCACATTATTCCAGCCGCGCGTGCCCTGTGACCGAGGCCCCACGTCCACGCCCTCCTCATGTTTTGCATTCGCGTTTGTTTTTCTTTTCCTCCTTGTCTTTGCTGCTGCCTCTCCACGCGTTGATGAATTTGTCGAATCCGTGTTTCAGCTGAGCGACGATGCTGATACATGCACGCTTTGTCTGTTTGACTTCTGAGCGGGGACTTCACGGGAGGTGTGTCGGAGTGGTGCCATGCCTGTGTGCCAGTGATGGAAATTTGTTGATGTTCCAAGCAAGCTCGGACGCGATCAATGACGATCTATTCAACGCATTATCACCTTTCGGGTCTGATGGCTGCCGGATCTTTTTCCTAACCCTCTCCCCTTTTTGCTATTTTTTTTTTTTTTTTGCCTAATGCAACGCGAGGCTGCTTGTGATGCAGAAGATGTTCAATTGCACCGATTTTGCGTGAGGACAGCCTAACACAGACCTGCACTGAGATTATCGTCAACTCCTCCCCTCATTCCAGCCACCTGCTGCAGAATTCAGATTTGCCGCGAATGTGGTGACAGAGTTTCCGACGCCATGTGGCGTGACGAAAACGATGCGTGCCGAGACATCCGTGAACTCAATCTTTCGCTCCGACCTGATGCATAGCGGCGTGCGAGCTGGGACCTCGCCTGTTGCCTACCGCCCGCCCAGCACACTTCGCGGGACTCAGCATCCCCATGCACCCCACTCCCTCCGTGTCGCCGCGGGTACCTCGTGTGCACGGCTGCGGACGATGAGCACCCAAAACCGATCAATTAACAGCAACATCTGAGTACATGTCGTGACGCAAATCGTGTTGCTGACGCAGAGTGCCGTCCCATGGCGACACGCGAGTGTTTGTGTGTGTGTGTGTGTTTGTTTGTGTGTGCGTATGTGTGTGTGTGGGTGGGGGAATGAAAGCGCTGTTTATTTATTACTTTCTGCTTGTCAGTCTGGGATTGGAAGGACCACATTGGAGTTGTGTCCTGGACCCGCTGCGTTGTCCTTGCTGCACACTCACGTGGTCCGAGAGTGGTTTTGCCTGTGCTGCTGGAATGCCTCGGCCGTGTTGCCTGCTGCTTATTTATTTATTTTTATTTTGTCTCATCTTGCTTGTTTCACAAGCGCCCACACTAGTGGAGAAGGGACTTTAGCCATGGAGCGGACTTCTCAGCCAGGTGCCGTGGGCCATCTTGGTGCGTCCCGAGACTGAGCGTCACCGAGTCTCTGCCGAAGTGATGACAACAACCGACTGGAGTCTCTGAGCTTCACTGAATGACAGCAATCGTGTTGGAGAATACTCTTCTTTCCCCGGCTGACGGCGTCCCTGTGGCGGCGGTGTGCGTGTGTGCGCACGCCCTGCCTTTCCACTTTCTCTCCCCCTTTACTTCCTCCGCTGCCGTGCGAGTGATGGCGGCCCATCCGCCGTTGCGGCGCACTGACACGGGTCGATGACGACAAACCACTTACGACGGTCTTATGACAATCACCCGAAAATGGATTGAACACAAGTGTCTTCACGAGATTTGGGGCGCCGCACATTATTCCAGCCGCGCGTGCCCTGTGACCGAGGCCCCACGTCCACGCCCTCCTCATGTTTTGCATTCGCGTTTGTTTTTCTTTTCCTCCTTGTCTTTGCTGCTGCCTCTCCACGCGTTGATGAATTTGTCGAATCCGTGTTTCAGCTGAGCGACGATGCTGATACATGCACGCTTTGTCTGTTTGACTTCTGAGCGGGGACTTCACGGGAGGTGTGTCGGAGTGGTGCCATGCCTGTGTGCCAGTGATGGAAATTTGTTGATGTTCCAAGCAAGCTCGGACGCGATCAATGACGATCTATTCAACGCATTATCACCTTTCGGGTCTGATGGCTGCCGGATCTTTTTCCTAACCCTCTCCCCTTTTTGCTATTTTTTTTTTTTTTTTGCCTAATGCAACGCGAGGCTGCTTGTGATGCAGAAGATGTTCAATTGCACCGATTTTGCGTGAGGACAGCCTAACACAGACCTGCACTGAGATTATCGTCAACTCCTCCCCTCATTCCAGCCACCTGCTGCAGAATTCAGATTTGCCGCGAATGTGGTGACAGAGTTTCCGACGCCATGTGGCGTGACGAAAACGATGCGTGCCGAGACATCCGTGAACTCAATCTTTCGCTCCGACCTGATGCATAGCGGCGTGCGAGCTGGGACCTCGCCTGTTGCCTACCGCCCGCCCAGCACACTTCGCGGGACTCAGCATCCCCATGCACCCCACTCCCTCCGTGTCGCCGCGGGTACCTCGTGTGCACGGCTGCGGACGATGAGCACCCAAAACCGATCAATTAACAGCAACATCTGAGTACATGCCGTGACGCAAATCGTGTTGCTGACGCAGAGTGTCGTCCCATGGCGACACGCGAGTGTTTGTGTGTCTTTGTTTGTTTGTGCGTAATTAGCTGTCTTTTTTTTCTCACTCTTTCCTTCTGTAGACTTGTGCCGTTTGTGGTAATATTATTTTTTATTTCTTGGGATCTAAATTGTTTATTTTTTCATGGCGACGTTCCCTGAACTTCTGCGGCCCCTCAAATTGGGGCGCTACACACTTCGTAATCGGATTATTATGGCTCCCTTGACGCGTTGCCAGGCAACAGAAGATTGTCATGTACCAAGGACGGAATCGATGCTCAAGTACTACGAAGACCGGGCATCTGCAGGTCTTATCATTGCCGAGGCGACGATGGTCCAGCCAAACTACACTGGGTTTCTCACGGAGCCTGGCATTTACTCCGATGCGCAGATTGAGGAGTGGAGAAAGATCGTGGACGCGGTACACAAAAAGGGTGGCCTTATATTCCTGCAACTCATTCACGCTGGTCGAGCCGGGATTCCGGAGAAGATCCTTCAGCAGTCGAAGAGTGACCAGGATCCCCTTGCTGGGCGCCTGCTTGCCCCGAGTGCCATTCCCATTAAGGACCATCGGATTCCTGCCTATTTTGCTGCGAGCGGAGAAAAGGAGACCTACGGTGTCCCAGAGGAGCTCACGGATGACGAAGTCCGGGACGGTATCATCCCATTGTTTGTGGAGGGGGCCAAAAACGCCATCTTTAAGGCTGGGTTTGATGGCGTTGAGATTCATGGAGCCAACGGCTACTTACTGGACGCCTTTTTTCGCGAATCTTCCAACAAGCGCCAGTCCGGTCCGTACGCCGGAACGACCATCGACACACGATGCCAACTCATCTACGATGTCACCAAAAGCGTCTGCGATGCCGTGGGAAGTGACCGTGTGGGGCTCCGCATATCCCCACTAAACGGCGTGC